TGTCAATGTTTGCTCGAAACTGGCATGATTTTGATTCACCTCGTTTTATGCCTTCACTTGATAACCGTTATTTCCCGTCTTTTCAGCGATCACTGATGTTTTTATTTGTGGCTATGCTAGGCATTGGTACGGCCTCGTCGTTTATCCGTCCCGCAAAGCTCGATCTGTGCAAACGGGTAAGTAGCCGATCGAGTAGCCGCACTTTAAACGTCCTCTTTGAAAACGTGTCTCCTCTCCAACTTCTTACCTATTCGGTGCTCCGAGCTTTGTTGCAAGCCAAAGCCCCACCCCTGCCCTGGTTGGGTACAATGTCCTTTCCTCAAAGGTCGAGGCGAATGCCTGCGCAGGACGGTATTTCAGGACCTGCAGGCAGCTGCATTTTGCAACTTCTTCTATGCGCAAGCTCATGCAGAAAGCGCTGGTCCACTCGCTCACTGCAGTCGTCTGACAGCTAGCCAGAAGCAAGAATGGTATGCGTACTGCCGCGAGACGCATGCGGGCATCCCAAGAAGCTGTGCAACTTCGGAGGCAATCTGAACGGTGCTTGCAACGCGGAAAGCGAGCGTTCAGGTACGTTCGTTATTCGTATGGGCGGGGGTCGGCACACTATGGTGGGGGTCACCTTGGCTAGGCCAGTTATGGAGGGTCAAGAGTTGACCCTCTCCCCTGCTCGGCAAAGTGATAGACTTCCATCTTTAGGTGAACCACAAATGCATCCCGCGACAATGTTCAGTCAGCTGGGCCAAACCGCGAATTTCGACAATGCAACTCGCGCGGCATTCGCTGCTTGTGTCGACTACTTCATGGGATAACCTTGCGAAATTCTGTGATGTCCTTTATGGAGTAAAAGGAAATCGACTGGCGCGAATAAAGTTTGGTTCAGCGGCTGATTCCTAGCTTTCATTCGCCTTGGGTCTACGCGAATATCCTTGTTAGCCCAGAAAAGTGTCTTTGCGTCTTGTTCCAGCTACTCCTTGAGGGTTATAGGGATGATAACTTCCCAGTCTTGTTATTGAAGGCACTAAGCAAGTCAACGCGCCCGTGAATGCGTTCGGAGTCCGAACGCCGTCGTGCAGCGCGCCCGAGTCGCCTTCTTTGTTGTTTCCTGCACTCCGATACTGAGTCAGTATGATTTATTCGGACGGCGATTTCCGACGCCAACTATCTGTCTAACGTTGTTTATCCTGCCCGCGCTATGTGCGTCCGCAGTTGAGCAGAACGGCTCCCTGGAACTTTCTGGACATTAGCACGCAATTCTGAAAAGTATCCTTGGATTACAAAGTTCTAATTATGAATAAAGTTACTACAATTTTGAAATTTCTTGGTCTCCTGCGGTCCCATCGGTTCTCGAAGGTGTCCCGGATAATCTGGCCGCCTATGAATCTTGTTTTGTGATTGGTTTGCTTTGTTATCTACTTTATTCGTCGCTTCCACTGATTTTTTGGCTTTTTCTTAAAAAAGTCTAACCTCCCTGGTAGGCCAAAAAAAGAGAAAATTATTCCGAAAATTCGATATTTTCAGTGGCCTTCGCGTTAGCCATCCCGGTTCCAATGGACTCTCTCCGTTCAACTGTATCCTGCTTTTTCGGCAACATATTTACTGCACGAATTATTTCGATAGTACCAATCGCTACGAATTGCATCATTTAGGAAAGATACGTTCAGTGGCGTGTATCATTCGTTTTAGGCGCTTGATATTTGTATCGACATAATGAGAGGGTCCGCAGACTTTGGGTCGCGTCTTCTTGAGGAACTGCGACAAATGGCCGAGTTAGGAATTGGTGGAACGATCGTCCTTAACGTCGAGTGCCCTCCGTCGGACGACGTCGTTCTGACCGCCCTCGCTGCTTCCGCTGCAAATTTATTCGTACCCTTCACATCCGGAATTCTCATTCGACTCTTCGACGAATCCGCGCCTGGTCACGATGGCGCGGTGATAATTACGCTATTCGACGAGCATACCTTCGTCTTCAAACCGATGGTCCACTCAAAGCAGGTCTCTCTGCCGACCTTTTCGGGGAATCTTGGCGAGCGGGGGCTCCGCCATTATTCCGCATCGTGCCTGACTCAGTTGACGAGTGCGCTGGTCTTTGTCGCCTCGAAGGATCACCGTTCGATCAGCGCGTTCCGGCACGGACAACAATATCTGAACCTCAATGACGACCAGGTATTAACAGTGGCGTAAAACCGTCCCGTACGCTGATTAGAGCATATTTTAGCTGCGAAGATTCGCGTTCGATGACTTATTGGCACAGGAGCACAAATTTGTGTCCGTCATGTTGGGTCAGATTCGGCAGATTACAGACCTACGACTGGGCGGAACTATCGTACTGAACACTTCTTGTCGTCCGTCTGACGATGCCTTCTTGAGAGACGTGTCCGGGACGGGGGAATCTCTCGGTCTGCCGATTGCCATGACTTCAATCAGCGACATATTCAACCAAAGACTAAGCAGTGGCCACGACGGCGCGGTGATCATCAGCCTGTTCGACGACGGATTGCAATGGCTTCCGACGATTCATTCCGTGCGTACGACCCTTCCACTAGACGATATCACCATGCTGCTACGGGACCGGCCCCAACTTCGGGGTTCTGGAACGCGACATATGTCGGCGTATAGCGCCAGTCTGCATACCGACGCGTTGTTCCTTGTCACGTCGGAAAACCGTCGCATAAGCATAGGCCAACGTGGTGAATACGTTGATTCTGACCTCGGCACGCTTGAAGGCCGGCTAAGATTCGTCTCGGGCTCGACGATAAGGAGACTAGTAAGTTTTCTCATTTCTTCTTACACGACATAATGGAGCGTACTTCAGCAGTACTTCGCAGTAATCAGAGGTCTTTAGCACAACGAGAAGTGGGCCAATGCATGGAACACCGCGATGGTTCTGGAGAACTGCCTACAATCCGCGTTTGAGAACGCGGCATCGCAGCACATTTTCCGTCACAATCTCCCACCTCAACTGGAAACGAGTCATTTGAACAATGCAAGCACCGCCGTCCTCCGACGCTATGGACTTTTCACTACTGTCCGCTTCGTGATGAGAACTGGAGTTGACGGTACGTAGCACGTGGGTAACGGGACACTTCTCAGGTGGCAGCAGCGAAATCTGTTCGAAATATTTTCAACACATTTTGCGGTGGCAGCGGCACTTTTTTATTGCTCGGGTGAGTTCCACGTTCCCACCTCTCCGATGAACAAGCTTAAGCCTATCTAGACGCTCGCCTCTTCCCGCTAGCCCCTAATCGTGGGCATCCCGACGCTGCTTTCGATTGTGCAATACAATTTCAGACATTTGCATCGAAGTGTATGCGTACGTCTTCGTCACCGAGTCGACGGTCGTAATCGAAGAATCCGTCTTCACATCCGAACATCTACGACGTTTCCTATCCAGCGCTACAGCGGTCCATGTGCACAGTCTTGCACAACGCCTTGCCGAGGCCTTCCTAAGCTACGGCTGGACGTCCGGCGACTGCATCTTCTACGTCTTACGTGATGCTCTTCCACGCACCGAACCGCTCATTGAAGCCCTCTTTGCGGAACGAAGAAGCGGGTGGTTTAGGAAGCCTTTCGGGCCCCACCTTCGGCAGTACTGTTTTTCAGTGGAAAAGCTCATCCGGACATATACCGCTTGCGGCACCTCAAAGGTAGTGTTTTCCTTGCTTGTAACAGGGCCTCGGCATTGCTTCACTCCGGGAAATACACGAAATGGGGATGGAATGGAGACTCCCGGCTGCTAGGCTTAAGGCCCAGTGACTATTGTACCAATGGAGGCTTGCGACTGCCGCTGGAGATCGTTGTATCCCGTTTCGCTGTTCTAAGACGCCAAAAATTTGTGCTTGATTAATTTTCCTATCTGCTACTCCCAAAGGGTCCTAGCCATGTCGTTACTCCGAAACTCCATTTCTGTAAATTCCGTTTTGAACTAGAACGCATCGCCCTATTCCAACTAATAGAGTTCCTGCTTTAGGTGAGCGACACATCCATTCCGTGACAATCTGCAGTCGACTGAGTAAGACTGTGGGTTTCGACAACGCAGCTCGGACCGCATTTGCAGCATGTGTTGATTGTTATATGATTGCATGCATGAAAAAGCTTAGCTTATGTCGAGGTTTAGAGGCCAGAAATGATGGTTTTTGGAGCCCAATTCTCTCATTCCGAGTATATCTGCATCGGAATAACCTGAACAAGCTTGCGGGTATGGGTTCAGGGAAAAGCCAGATAATTTAGAACCAGTGGCTCAAGCTTTATTTCAAGATTGTTCTTCCATTTATCCCGCTTACTCCAGAAAGAATAGCCCATTTTTGGACATCGACTACTGCCGCATCATTTTCGCTGCATGTGCGATGATGCAACATAATGCCTGTCGCAATAACGACCAAAGACCTTGGCCGAAGGGAAACAAGGCCTCAGTGAGTGGCTGCAATCGGGAAGCGCATTATTTCTTGTTGACGTGCACTTTCGCCCGCGTGCTAGCGTATCCGTAAACAAGGGTCGCAAAGGCCGCTAGGCCGCATTTGTCCCACTCGCTATGTTGACAGCACTCGCTCGAAGTTTATCGCACATTTCCTTGCACATTTAGATTCACAAACGATTCGAACATGTCCATAGTTCCAGAATTCGAAGCAGTGGAAATGTCGTCGCACGCTCCCTTCTCGCATCACCATCACTGGGTCTCTCCGTTCGATTCAAAGCGTTTCAACGAGTTCTACAGCCCTACGATGCGTCAGCAGGCTCGCTACAAGGGCGGACTGGGCGATCTGTACTCCGTAGAGGACGGGGGCTTCCGCTGGAAGTGCGACGTCTCCGGATACTTGTAGGTTTTCCGGTCCATTTAAGTCCTATTAGAGGATCCCTGGCCTGACCTGAAAAACTGAGAAGGACTCTGAATGCGTAAGCCGGCTATGGGAAGCTCAAAGACCAAAAAAATTCCCAAGCTAACGCCCAAGTGTGTCGTGAAAAAAGGCGTGCTACCTACATAGAAGAGCTAAAAACGTCTTTGGAGGAAGAGGGGTTTGAACCCTCGACTTCCCGCATGCAAAGCGGGCGCTCTACCACTGAGCTATACCCCCGACGACGACGATGTGCGCATAAGCGCTAACCAAGACCTTATCGTGTCTCACTGAAACCGTCTTTGAGAGATTGCGAACATTCAACTCAGCACGCAAAAAAGTGAATAAGGACCGACTTCAGCATAAAAAAGCTTTAGGAGTAGCGCAAGGACATACCTTCTCGAAATATCCTTGCCTTCTTTGGACCAACCTTCAGCGGCACTGATACGTTTATCGTTCGTCTTTATGATGTGCATTAAGCCTGCACCCTCTTAAGGAAATGTCCTGAGTACCACACCCGTCCGGCGCATGTGCCCAGACCCACGAGGGTCGAACGTTAACATGGTTGGAGTCGCTGGCTTTTAACCGTAGCAGTTTAGACCCGAAGAACTGCACATGGAAATGGACGGGAACGATCTCATCGTCAATGCCGAGCACGAGGAACTGCGCGAGGGAGAGTCCGTCTACCGCCAGCTGAAGCGTCGCGTGCACTTGCCAGAGGGCATCACCAAGGACGCGCTCAAGTGCCACATCGATCACCACGGCCACCTGATGGTCGAGGCGGACAAGGAGCCGCACAGGCGCCATATAGTACCGATGGACCGCTACACGTGGCCCGCCGGTACCTACGTACCGCCGTTCCTTCCGCTTCGCGAATAACCTCGCTCACGCGCTGTTCTTCCGGCTATGCCTTCACGCATGTATTTGTCTCATATTTTGCGGTTTTGCAATAAAATGAGCTATATAAGCCTTTAGCCGAGATTTACTCTTCACACACAATTGAAGAACTCAGGCAACACAGGCGATGTATACCGGTAATGACTTTTACGAGTGGCGCAGGTAGACATACGCCCGGCAAAATTAGCAAAGACAACACTAGCTAACAGGGAAGCACAGCGCAAAACTGGCAAGAGAACCATAGTAAGAGCCCCCCTCCCCAACCACGGCTGGTTGAGGTATGCTCATTTTAAAGCCTTTGTTTGTTCCGGTTTCGACGCTAATCCGGATGTTCTCGGTGTAAGAATATCGCGGCATATATTTCCACCCGCTCGACACTCGACTGGTTCCGAAGACGCTCATCCGGTCTTTGGGTAATCGAGCATGCTGAAGCCGCCTCCTTCTTCAGATTAGCGCGAGGTGAGTTTTTGGAATAGGAATCGAGAATCAAGTTTAGTCCAAAAGACGATTTCTCCGATTCTTTTCGATTGTTTTCTCGGTGGAAAGCTGCGCTTTTCATGACCAAAAATACGTTTTGTAAGGTGTCAGCACGTACACTTGAAGCAGCGGTAAATGTGCAGTGAACCTCTTACGCACAGTCACTGACACCTACAAAAGACCCGCAACTTGCCGTTAAATCTTAGAACTGTTGACGGAACCGGTGCTGGGTAAGGGCCATTTCTGTGGACCTGACGGACGGCTTGACACGGCCATTATGACTCTACGGCAGGGGTGGGCGGGTACCGGTCCCGGTACCGGTCCCGGTCCCGGTGTACCGGTGGTTTTGGTCCCAGTCCCGGTCCCGGTCCCGGTCGTCAGAAAAAGTCCCCCCATATCGACTTTTCGACTGACTGCCGCAGGCATTGCCTGGACCAAATTTTAGGCCAAAATAATAAGTTTTAAGTAAAAATTTCGGCGGAATCGCCTGCGGCGGGCTAAGTTCAGTGCGAATATAGTGAGATGTCGACCATGTCTGACCAGAATTTTCGCAAACTAGCTTTGAAGAAATGGAAAACCATGACCTTAGCCGACACGGTTTTAAGGCGAAAGTTAGCTGAAGTCCCGGTCCCGGTACCGGTCCCGGT